TCTGTATTCTTGCCTTGGTCTGGCGCACAAACAAATAGTTCTTTGATAGAGTTCCGTGAAAGAAAAGTCACAGCTTGAGGGCTGCTTCAATTAAGGCATCAACTACTTTGCATCTTGAGTTTATGGAAATACCCGCATAACAACAATTATTTACATTTATATATACAGCACCTTTCATATCGGGGAAAGGTCGCAAAGTGCTGCACCCAGATGACAGGGAGCAGAGACTGAGTTCAGGAGAGGGGGAGTTGAGTGGGGTGAGGGAAGATGACCAAAGTCAGATCAAAACTATTGTTTTTAACTTGAGTTTTGAGGGCAGAAGAGTAAGAGGAAAGGAATTAATTGAAAGCTCGTCCACCAAACATTGGCAACTATTATTTAATGGGGGCATTTTTATCACATTAATGCAGTACCGTGACCCCATCTCCCCCACTCTCGCACGACTCCATTGACTCCCTATCCTTCAGAGAATCCAGTTCAAGATCCTGGTCCTCACATACAAAGCCCTCCATGGCCTCGCCCCACCCTACCTCTACAACCTCCTAACCCACTACAAACCCGCCCATTCCCTCCGCTCAGCCGGCTCTGGCCTGCTCCACGTCCCCTGACCCACCCGCCCCACCATTGGCAGGAGAGCCTTCAGCCACTCTGCCCCCAACCTCTGGAATTCCATCCCCCAATCACTCCGCCTCGCCCCCTCCTTAGCCTCCTTCAAGTCCCGCCTCAAGACCCTCCTCTTCGACCATGCCATCGGCCACTCCCCTTCCCCTCCCGTCCCTTCCTCTCCCCTGACCCCAGCTCGGGTCTGAAATGCTGTACTCTGTCCAGCACCTTCAGATGTCCTCCCGACATGAAAGGCGCTATACAAATGTAATCTTGTTGTTGTTGTTGTACTGTCTTTCTCCTTGTTTTTTTATTTATCTTCTTCTTGTTGCGTACCACACTTCAATTTAATAGTGCAGCACGTTTGTTTATTGTGTTTGTTCCATCCCATAGCGAAATCAGATTTATACACATTTAAGGTTAACGTTCACATTTAATATTGCTTTACCTGCTGCAAATTCTGGGGTAAAGTTTGCGATGTTTCATTGAGCATCTGTTGAATAACAAGTGACAGGTTTGATTTACAGTATGTGCTATGTTAGAGTATAAAAGTCCACAAACTTTACTGCCACGTTCTGAATCATTACACTGCTGGAGAATATTAAAAATAACAATAATCCTTGCATTGGTATAGAGCCTTTTGAGAGAACATCTCAAAGTCCCTCACATGATTTTATTTTAAAGTGGAGTTTTCAACAACAATAAATTACATACAAATATAATTTGTTGTTGTTTTCAAGTGTGAACTTTGTAGGCCAACTGAGGAGCCAGTTTGCATACAGCAATGTCCTACAAACAGCCGTGAAATGAACGATCAATTTTCTCTGAGGGAATGTTGGTCAGAGCCCAGGGAGAAACTCCCTTCTCTTTTCAAATAGTGCTATGGTATCTTTGCATTGATATTTAATGGTACAATGAAAGGGCATTAGGATTAAAAAATCTACCAATATTTAATAAATTTGTTCAGGCTCAGTGGGCTGAATCGCCTCCTCCTGTTCCTGATTCCATATGTTGCTTGGGTCTGAGGGGCATTGAAAATAATGATGGGTACCAGTCTCTGATAAGCACGAGGGCTCGAACATATCTGGGAAGGTGGACCAGTTCTCCTGAAACTTTTCTTGCCTATAGTGAAACCCACAAATTTTTTTTGGACTTCGATGCATCCCACAACAGCTGGAGCTACATGGTTCGAGGATGGGGAAGTTAAGAGGTTTGACAGTTCGCTAAGTATGCAGTTATATATAGAGTAGCTGGAGGCAGCCCTGGAGCTCTCCAGCTGCACTGAATCTGTGGTGGTTTTCCTGCCTCAGAGCTAGTATGTCTGTAGCTATCGGAGGGCAGTAACACTATGTAAAGACCTGTAATAATCCATCCCCATCCGCAGGTGTTCAGTTCAGCTTTTGGACCAGGAAATAAACTGAGGTTTTTGTATGTTGTACTAAACAATGCTTTAGCCATGCCGGTGTGTGGTCAATGCGATTGAGTTTGCTTTTGATTTCCAGTGTGTGGATACGGTTGCATTAAGTCAGCATCTACTGTACATGTTAATTGTGAATTTTTATGCTTTAAGCATGTTTACGCTGGAGAAATACTCGACCAGGTTTCTTTTTAATATAAAGTGAAGGTGATTATGTAAACAATTCAACGTTGGCCTGTGTTAATGTCTTACTTTATGTTCCAAGGATATGCTCACAGCTTCAGCAGCAGAGTTGCAGTGTAAACACAATGGAACAGTGGATACTAAAACAATAATAATAATCTACTTTTCATATAGTCACTGGATATACTGCTCCATAGCCCTCATCCTATATGCCCCTCAGTAGTTGTGCTTTCAACATCCACTGATAGTGGGGGCACATGGGGCAGGGGACATGAAATTTGCCCCTACTCTCTGAAACTTCATCCCAGGGTCCCTCCGACTCCCTTCCTCCCTCCCCTCATTCAAGGCCTGCCTCAAGATGTAGCTCTTTGACCGGGATTTCGGTCACCTTTCCTCTAATCACTGCATCCCTTAGCTCCTACCCCTAGCTCAGATGTCAGCCAGTAGTATCCAGTACTTTGACAAAGGGAGAATCTCCCTTCTCCAACAGTGCCATGAAAGCTTAAATCCACCTGAGCAGGCAGTTTAACATCTCATCCGAAGCATGGCATCTCCTACAATGAAGCACACCTCTAGCACTGCATTATCAGCAGTCAAGACAGATTATATATCCTAACATGGGATTTGAACCCACAATCTACTGACGCAAAGACAAGATTGCTGAGCCAGGCTGACAAGTATAGCTTCATATCCACCTCACAGGGCTCGTCGCATCCAAACCAATACTGTAAACTCTCTACCAGCTTCCGATCCAGCACTTCCCATGAGTATCTGCCCAGTGCAGGCCAGCCAAACCTGTCAATGCCTACTAGCGGCCAGCTGTATGTATTGTACAATGCTGTTCAGAAAAACAACAGTGAGTTGGAAACTACTGTGTGTGGCTGGGTTTGCAGGGACGCAGTTATTTCTATGTCACTGGATTCTGCTCCACAACGTAAACTGGGGTGGACATCAATCATAGGCCACCTCAGGGTGTTTCAGAATGGATTCTGTTTGAACTCGTTCTGAAGCGTCCTGCAAAGTAAATAGGGCATGAAATTTGCAAGTATACACAGTGGGAGCTGGCAGAGACCCTGCAACAGCTCTCAGTGAAACTGGCAGTTTAGAGACCTGCAGGTCAGGGCACCAGTGCAGACCAGGGTTCATATTCACCGCCTTCCCATTGTTAACAACAAATACCTCACAGATGCGGTTCAAATTACTTAGAAGTCCACTGAACACTTTTACAGTCTTGATTATTAAGTCCTTGCTAAAAATAGAGGTCTGGAATGTTGAGGTGTTTGGTGCTCCCTTTTTATTGCTGAAGAAACTCAAATTATACAGTTTGCTGTTCCACATTGTTATTCATTATTCAGCGCTCATGTACTTATTGCCTCATGCAGGAAAGCCAGACAACTCATAAATCAAGTATGTATGTAAATACTTATCTGTAATATATATAGTGCTATCCAGGTTATCCTTGTCAATGTTCAGTGCCTTGGGTGGTCCTCCTGACATAAAAGGCACTATACAAATGTAATTTGTTGTTGCTTGTTGTAGTCCACACTTGGGATACCAATCTGTTTCAGAATCACCAGTTCAAGTAGACTCTGTGTTGTGTCGTATTGTATGACCAGCCAAAGTTCTAGACTGCTATAATGTGTCAGTCTGAGTCTGGTTTATGCCCTAAAATCTCAGGAACTATGGGTGCTGTTAACACCACATGGTGCCTGTCCATCTGCCACAAAGTCCTCTGAGGCAAGAACACAGCTGTTGTTTCAGACTTCTTCAAAAGATCTCCCACCTGGTAACCTGATATGCTGGTGGGGAGCACCAGGAAGGATTCGTAAAACAGTTTGCAAATATCAAACCTCGCAGCTACCTGGATGTGCCTCATGTGAACCTATCCAAGAACTCCTCTTGGACACTTATTTCCTTTAAGAATTCTGTGCAGTCAGGGTCAGCCTGACTCTGTTGGTAGCACTCTCACCTCTGGGGTTCAGGCCAATGTCAGAACTGTGAGCTTGCAGTCTAGACTGGCACTTCAATGTAGTCCTGGGGGAGGGCTGTGTTGTTGGTTGTGAATCCTTCAGATGAGACATTAAATCTGGCTTGGACTTTTGAAGACCCTATGGCACTATTTGAAATTTGAAGGGAATTTCTCATGGTTTCCTGGCCAAAAATTCCCCAGATTACAAATTGGTCATGTGCAGTAGTTCATGGCTGTTTGTGGAACATGGCCATGCACAAATTGGTTGTCATGTTCACGTTTTCACTACACTGTGACGTGTCATGATGACGTGATAAGGTGCTCCAACAAATACAAGGCCATTTTATAAAGGGATTAGTCAAGTCATCAAGTCACTGATATCAACCTTCATTGATCAGCACTGCATGAAAAACCTGGCTTGCCAGAGGCCACCAGTCCCGTGAGCATTTTTAATGGTTCCTGGGATGTCTCTGTCACAGGCAGCTTTCTGTATCTCATCAGCAAGCTGGCCAGTCAGTGCCAAAAGTGTATTGCATTAGAGAATAGGCAAGCATAAGAGGGTCCCACTGATTCTTATTGTTTAGCTGGAATTTCTTTTTGAGCAACCCTGTTTAAAAATGCCACATATTAGACCCTCGTCATCTTGTAATCATTTATAAACTAATGAGAAAAAAAGCTTGCCAGACAATTATTCATCTCACTGTCATGACTAAAAGTCCTTTTTAAAGTTGTGTAACTTGAACTTGTACAGAACGTACACTGCTTTCACTATCCAACTCAGAGCATTTTGAAGAAGTGTGTGATTTTTTTTCTTGTCTATCTAAACAGTATCATCATGCATTACAACATACAAGAAGAATCCTCCGCCAGTCCCACCTCGGACCACGACCAAACCATTCATCTCGATCACCGCCCAGAGCAGCACAGAATCTGCACAAGACGCCTATTTGGACGGCCACAGCCACAGAGGTGATCTGAACAGCCAGTCCAGATTGAGTAATTCCACGGAAAGTTTGGACAGTGTCAAGGCATTAAATGCTGCCATAGAAGCCGCCAACGCTCAAGTCCATGGACCTTCTAATAGTCAGCAGCACATTGAGATCACGCCGCCAGTGATAGTTGAACAGGAAATTCCACCAGTGGAGGAAATAAAAGTGGACCTGTTGAGAAAAAGCAAGTGCTCTTCAGTCGGAATACAGGTGTGTGATTCATTGCTTAATGTAACTCTGTCAGTGGCACTTGTCTCACTAAACAAACCATGTTTACACTTCGGTGTGCAGTGGGTATGGTGAAGATATCCTCAAGACCTTCCTCTTCGAAACTCTTTTGGCCATCCTCCCACCTCTTCCTTCTTTGTCATCCATCCCTCTTGACTTCAACACCCATCTCGGGTGTAAACCCTTGACTGTCTAGCACCTCGGGATGTCCTCCCTACAGCAAAGACACTACATACATGTAGTTTTGTTGTTCTTGTTGTAGTTACACTTGGATGACACCAAATGATAGTTATGGGGAGAGACGTGAAAGTTGCGGCAGTTTTCGCTGGAGTAGAATACTTTGAAGGGGGGCATTCAAAGTATTAAGAATGATTCGGATCTGGGAAATATAGAGGGGCTATTTCCATTGAGCCATTCAATTCAGGTGGGAATAAATTGAGAATTATCATTGAAAGATAGAAGAGAAGTGCTCTGGAAGATTTGTTTTGCTAATGCCTTGATACTGTTTTCCTCATCTCAGTGTTTCTGTCTCACTTCTTAAAACCCATCTTTTCAACTGTGATTATGGTCACCTTACTCCTTTTTGCTTGGTGTCCAACATTGTTTATGTAAAATAATAATAATAATCCTTGCATTTGATATATATTTGATATTATCATCTTGTTGAGACATCTCCAAGTGTTTTCCCAAGTGGATTGACTGTATTTTGTGGGTGAAAGATGTTACTGTATACATGAAGGACACTATGTAAAAGTATATTGTTGTTGTTGTCTCAGGTTGATGGGCCTGATGGAGAAACAATTGTAGAAGCATTGAAGCTGAACAGGTTCCAGTCAATAGGAGTTCAAGTGGAGGAGGAGAAATGGTAAGTTACATTTTTTTCTGCAGATCACATACTGAAAATCAACCTACCACTGCAGTCAGATAGGTGAGCAACATTGCCTAGACCGTTGGAATTTTTTTTAGATTCTACAGAATTTATTATTAATAATAATAATCCTTGCATTTGATATAGCACTTTTCACGTCTTCTAGACGTCTCAAAGCGCTTCACAGAATATACTGTAAAGTGAATTAACCGTATATTTGTGGGCGAAACCCAGCAGCCAATTGCGCACAGCAGTGTCCCACAAACAGTCATGGATTGAAAATGATCAATTTATTATTGTTTTATTTTGGAGGGATTATTATTAGGTGTGTGGAGTAAGGAAACTTGCCCAAGGTTTTGCCCTGCCTGGAATTGAACCCAGGTGTCTCGCTTGCAAGGCGAGTGCACTAACCACTGAGCTGCAGGACTTCACATTGGCAAATTCTTCAATTCAGTCATAGTTTAGAAGCCGTTTCTCACAGTTCTTTAAAAAGTCCCATAAGGAATTACAGGACCCAGATGTTCACCTAATGGTTCAGGAGTCTATATATGAACCACGTGGATGATATCCAGTTATAGAGATGGGAACATTCCTATGGGATTGTTCTCGGAATGCACTGCCTCAGCTGAGATTCACTAACTGAGCACAGACTTGGGATCAAACCTTGTGATGTATGACTCAGCACTACACCATTCAGTGACTTCTGTGAGTTATCAAATAACAATGTGCACGCTAAGTAAACATTCTTGCATTTCCCCCTTACATCTCCTAAAGGTGTTATTGAAGTGAGCAAGCTTGTTTTTCTCTGGGTTATTGTACCTTTCACCCACAAAATACACAGTCAATCCACTTTACAATATATTTTGTGAGGTGCTTTGAGATTTCTCAATGTTGTGATAAGGCACTATATCAAATAGGATTATTATCATTAATATATGCATCAGAATAACTTGCAGAGATGCTCACAAGTCCACAAATTGATTTTCATGATTTTAACGAGCATCCTTGAACTATTTCAAGGGGTGTTGGTTTGTTTCTTACTAATAGAACTTCCAGTGAGCCGATCTTAAGATCTGTCAGAACAACATGTGGAGATAATGATATAATAATCCTTGCATTTGATATAGCGTCTTATCGCGTCTTCGAAACGTCTCAAAGCGCTTCACAGAATTTACTGTAAAGTGAATTAACTGGGCGAAAAATATAATAATAACAGGTTCACAAATTGACTGACCTGTTACAGTAATAAAACAACAATAACTTGCATTTATATAGTGCCTTTCACACAGGAGAGTATCCCAGAGTGCTGCACAGTGGCAGGGTTGAACACTGAGAAAGGGAGGGGGAGGTGACTACAGGCACGATCAAAGCGGTGGGTGTTAAGGTGGGACTTAAAGACAGATAAAGAGAGGATGGAGGTAGGGAATTCCAGAGGTTAAGGACTCACAACCAACTCAGCCGCAACCCTAATCCACACCTTCATCACTTCCCAGCTGGACTATTCCGATGCCCTCCCCAGCTTCACCATACACAAAATTCAATTAATTCAAAACTCAGCCGCCCAGATACTCAGCCACACAAAATTCTGTACCCCATCACTCCAGTCCTTACCAGGCTCCACTGGCTCCCAATTACCGAATGGCTCGATTTCAGGATCCTCTCACTCGTTTCCAAATCCCTTCATGCCCTCGCACCTCCCTAGCTATCCAATCTGCTTACCCCTCATTCCACCATCCACTGCATCCGGCTTCCTTTTTGTCCTTCGTCTCCTCCATTCCACCATCAATGGCAGTGCCTTCAGCCACGACACCCTGAAACTCTTCTTGAATCCCTCCGCCTTGTTCCCTTCCTCCCTACATTCAGTTACCCACCTAAAGACATTCCCTTTTGTTCATGCTAACGGTCACCTCCTGGTTCCCTCTCCCCCTGGCTCAAGGTCAAACTCCAGGGCACTACCCCACGTGAAGGACGCTATTTAAATGCTAGTTGTTGTTATGGTAACGTCGTACAGGTATTGTGAAACATTTTTATGTGTTTATTGTAAGGTTCTTCTCATAACTTTTAAAAAGAAACCCGATTGACAAACTTGCGATTGGCAAACTTTCTGATTCTCAATACTGTTCACTTGGATCACGTGGTGAAAAAGTTTCTATACACAATTTTTTTATGATTAACATTGATATGCATATTTTGGACCTGAACAGGACATTCAGTACTCAAAAGGTATTTTATTTTTGTATTCTCTATCATCAACCCAACCCCTTCCCCCTCCTCCTTCTGTCCATTTTTCTCCCCTCGTTTCCTGAATACATTGATATCTACTCAAATGTTCCAAGGGCACTGGCTGTTCACCAGTTCTTCATCCAAATGACCATTCTTTATCCGTGAGCCTTGAAATAAATTGTTGGCAGGCTGCTAATTGGGGGGGTGGGGGAGCGGAGAAGGAATGGGGTGGCATCCCGTTCCTATCCTATCCTCCCCTGATCCAGGGTAATTGAGACAAATAGTAGTTTCATTGCTGCTATTTTGGCGAGATCCTATATTGAAAGATTTAAATTTGCAATTGTTCAACTTTCAGATGAGACATTAAACCGAGGCCAGGTGGATGTTAAAGATCCCAAAGCACTATTTAAAAAGAGAAGGGAGTCCAGGCTAACAATTTCCCAAATAAAAATTGGTTATTCACTCCATGTCTGTATAATTGTGGGACATTGCTTTGTGCAAATTGGCTGCCGCATTCGCCCACAAAGCACAGTCACTTCACTTTACACAATATCCTGAAGGCTTTGGGACATCTTCTTGACTTGAAAAGAGCTATACCATATGCAAGGAAAATTATTATTATTATCATCATCAATGCTCCAAATCCCTGTAATGAACTTCATTAAACTAACAACAGTGTGGGCAATTAAATCACAGTTTTTTCTTTACAATGTTCATGAAGTAAGCTAGAAGTAAGGGTTATCAGTTCTCTGCTTTGAGCTCAGAACCAACGCACGTCCCCTTCTCCCTTCACTACATCATCGACAGCCAAGCTTTCAGCCATCCACTAGAGCTCACCTTCAGTCAAATCTTCCCGCCCTCTTGAACTACCTCCCCCCCACACTTTCTTCCAGGTAAACCTATGATTCACTTCAAGGCTGTTTGCAGGACATTGATGTGTGCACATTACCAACACTGCACAGGGGATGTCATCCTGATATGAAAGGTGCAATATCAATTGCAAGGATTATTATTATTGTTTGAGTGTCCAGTTTACCACAAAGCTTTTCACAGGATTTTACTGTAAAGTGTAGTCACTGTGTATTTTGTAGGTGAATGGGTCAGATGGTTTATTTTACACAAGCCTGCCTGATTTTGAATAAAGGGAAATAAATATATTTTACATCAACATTTCCTGACTTCATTCAGCAAGAGTTAAATGTAGCTGCTTACAATGTGCCCTACCACTGGGCTGAGGGAAAGATTATGGATATCGTGACCTTCCACTGTTAAGCCATCCCGTTGCTTATTAACATTTGTTTTCAATCGAGCCATTTGTATTCAGCCACCGGGTTCTTATTTCCCACACAAAGTATCCCATCCTTGAATTTTTTTGGGACACCTGCATGCAGTTGCTGAGTCTGTTGATTGATTTCACCAAGTTCGTTGCTTATAGGATTAATGTGCAAACACTTTTAATTTGAATTTGTGAATCTGTGGCATATCTGCTTAACTTTGTGGCCATATCTGCTTACATATGTAACTGCATGTAAGCAGATATGGCCATGAAGTGCCCCCTAACAACCTGCCTGCTCCCTCCGCTCAGCGGGCTCCGGCCTGCTTCACATCCCCCGCCTCACCCACCCCACCATTGGCGGGTGAGCCTCCTGCCTCTCTGCCCCCACCCTTTGGAATTCCATCCCACAGACCCTCCTCCTCCTCGCCTCCTCCCTTGCCTCCCTCAAGACCCACCTCAAGACCCTCCTCTTCGACCATGCCTTCGGTCACCCTTCTTCCCCCCTTGCTCTCCACACTCCCCGATCCTGACCTCCAGCTCACGTCCGAATAACTGATTGTCCAGCACCTTGGGACATCCTCCCAACATGAAAGCCGCTATGCAAATGTAATTTTGTTGTTGTTGTGGTACCTGCTTGAATTTGACCAGGAAGTCAACTTAATCCTTGCATTTGATATAGTGCTTTTCACGTCGGGAGGACGTCCCAAAGCGCTTCACAGAACACACTGTAAAGTGAATTGACTGTATATTTGTGGGCGAACGCGGCAGCCAATTGCGCACAGCAATGTCCCACAAACAGTCGTAGATTGAAAATGACCAATTTATTATTGTTTTTTTTGAGGGATTATTATTAGGCGTGTGGAGTAAGGAAACTTGCCCAAGGTTTCGCCCTGCCTGGAATTGAACTCAGGTCTTTCGCTTGCAAAGCGAGTGCTCTAACCACTGAGCTACAGGACTCCACAAACTTGATTTTTTTTCCATCTCCGAACTCAGATTTGCTGAGATCAGTTGTAACATTCAGGTCCAAAATATAGAAGATAATCAAATAGAAAATAGAAAGTTCAGAGGAGAATTGATAAAGGAAATAAGAGGGGCAAAGAGATTGTATGAGAAAAGATTAGCGAGTAACATAAAAGGGTATTTTATAAGGTATTTTATATGCATATAAAGAATAAAAGGTTAGTCATATGTAGGGTGGGTCCAATTAGGGACCAAAGAGGAAATCTCCTTTTGGAGGCAGAGGGCATGGCTGACGTATTGAATGAGTACTTTGCATCTGTCTTCACAAAAGAGGAGGATGTAGCCAATGCCTCAGTATCGGAGGAGAGGGTAGAGAAATTGGATAGGATAAGAATAGGCTGAGAGGAGGTACTAAAAAGATTGACGATGTTCAAAGTAGATAAGTCACCCGGCCCAGACGGGATGCATCCTAGGTTACTGAGGGAAGTAAGGGTGGAAATAGCGGAGGCTGTGGCTACAATCTTTCAATCCTCCTTGGATACCAACCAGAAGGGTGCCAGAAGACTGGAGGGTGCAAATGTTACTCCTGTGTACAAAATGTGGCAAAAGGATAAACCCGGGAACGCGGCAGCCAATTGCGCACAGCAATGTCCCACAAACAGTCGTAGATTGAAAATGACCAATTTATTGTTGTCTTGTTTTGGAGGGATTATTATTAGGCGTGTGGAATAAGGAAACTTGGCCAAGGTTTCGCCCTGACCTGCCTGGAATTGAACTCAGGTCTCTCACTTGCAAAGCGAGCGCTCTAACTACTGAGCTGCAGGACTCCATGTGAAGTGATGCATTTTGGTCAGAAGAATGAGGAGAAGCAATATAAGCTGATGGTACAATCTTAAAGTGGGTGAAAGAACAGAGAGACCCGGGGGTTCATATAAGTAAATCTTTGAAGGTGGCAGGACAGACAGATAAAGCTGCTAAAAAAGCATACAGGATACTAGGCTTTATAAATAGGGGCATAAAATGCAAAAGTAAGGAAGTTATGATGAACCTTTATAAAACACTGGTTAGGCCTCAGCTAGAATACTGTGTTTAGTTCCGGCCACCACATTTTGGGAAGGATGTCAACGCATTGGAGAGGGTGCAAAGGAGATTTACCAGAATGGTACCAGGAATGAGGGAATTCAGTTATGAGGAGAGGCTAGAGAAGCTAGGGTTATTCTCCTTGGAGCATAGAACATTAAGAGGAGATTTAATAGAATTTTTCAAAATTATGAGGCCATCCGATAGGGTGAACAAGGAGAAACTATTTCTACTGATGGGTGGGTTAGGACACCAATTTAAAATAGTTGTTAAAGGAAACAGAGAGGAGATGAGGAGACATTTTTTCACATACCGCATTGTTTGGATCTGGAATGCATTGCCTGAAAGAGTGGTGGAAGTCGATTCGATAACAACTTTTAAGAGAGATGTAGATAATTATTTGGGGACGACAAGTTTGCAGGGCTATGGGGAAAGAGTAGGGGAGTGGAATTGATGTGGTAGCTTTTTTCAAATAGCCAACACAGACACGATGGTCGAATAGCCACCTTCTATGCGATATAATTCTATGATCCTATGAGATGAGTGAGATGAGTGAAATCAGCACTGACTAATGATCAAATGAAAGCTTCTGAACCTATGTGGCTCAGTTTCACAAATGAGCATTAACCTTATCAATAGAGCAATTGAGACTGACTAGCTTGTTTTTTCCCTCCTTCCTTCTTAGCCACAAGCTAGGAATCAGACCTGGGACCTTGCCTTTCTGCAAGGTTCAGTACAACACCAGGCGATATGAGTCATCCAGAGGCTCTGATATGGTTTTCTTGGCAGTCAGTTAGCCAATATGATTTTACAGTTAATGAATTTTGAGCATGTTATTAAAAGTCTCTCTTTGGATCTTTGTTTCTTCATTGCTATATTTTTTTCTGCCTTAGCTTTCGTAAGTTTACTCGGTCAAACAGTGTGGCGGCAGCAGTCCAGGCAGACCTGGATGCTCAGAAGAAGGTAGAAGACTTGCATGAACCCCAGGAAGTGGTCGTGAATCCAATGCTGAGGCAACACTCTAAAGATGCAAGTACATCCACAGCTGCCATTCAGGGGGCTGAGGCGTGCCAGCTCCAGGCCTGTGCACAGGACGTTGACTTTGCCCCAGAATTTGATCCTTCCTTTCTTCCGCCTCCCGAGCCTTGGATCGACTCAGTGTCTGTTGCTGAAGTGGAAGCAGGCCAGAGGTCAATATGTCAAAGGGACGGACGGTGGTTCATGAAGCTGCTTCAGGCTGAGAAGCAGCGGATGGATGCATGGTGCCAACAGATGGAAAGAGAAGAACAAGACAATGAGCTTCCTGAAGAAAGTAAGTGGCCATAGACTTTTATTAAATAACTTTAAAGCAAATTATGGTCACCCGTGTAAAATAAGTGTTTGAGAATCCAGCATGTGTTGCTAAAAACAGCATCCTTCTTGTGCTGTTTTCGTTTGCCTACGTATAATGTCAGTATATTTATTCGATATAATCGTGGGGAAATATCTAAATTTGCCAAAGTTTTTTTTAATGCATCTCCTACAGAATGCTTTTGATGATGTTTAGTAATTGAAATTCACTGGGTTGCGAAAAAGCACAATCCGTGTAGTTTTATATTTTAATCCTTTCATTTGATAATGAGCATTATTATATTGAAATGCCTCAAAGCGCGATTGTGGATTTGTCAGCAAATGCTGCAGCTAATTTACACACAGCAATGTCCTACAAACAGCCAAGTAGTGAATCATCATTCTTTTTATTTGGAGGATTGTTGACAAGGACACCTGCAGAAACTTCCTTTCTCTTATTGAATAGTGCCATAGGATCTTTCACACCTACCTGAACAAGCAGACTGGACCTCAGATAACACCTATGAGAATTATGTAGTCCCCAGCGTTACACTGGAGTATAAAAATCAGTATAAGATCAGAATCTCAATATAATGCTTAATGTAGTTCTGACTCAAAGGCGAGACTGCTACCAACTGAGCCAGGTTAACCGATAAAACCTTCTCCCAGTGAGTGCAAATTCCACGCACACTGGAGTTGGTTTATTAAATGGACCCCTGACTCTGCTTACGTGTAAAGTGACGTCAATACTCATAGGATTTCCCTTTATCTTAACATGAGTTGGATAATTCTGACTGACAAAACTTCAGCTAAAGCTGAGCTTTTACACTTAGTTTCTATTTTTTGCTCTGGTGGAGATTTTATTACAACAACAACAACAACAACAAAATTACATTTATAGAGCGCTTTTCACGTCGGGAGGACGTCCCAAAGCACTGAACAGTCAGGTGTCGGGGCCCGAGCATGGGAGGGGTGGTGTAGGGGTGAGGGAAGGCAGAGAGGTGGGAGGGAGACCAAAGGCACGGTCGAAGAGAGGGGTCTTGAGACCGGCCTTGAAGGAAGCAAGGGAGGAAGCGAGGCGAAGGGACCGGGGGATGGAGTTCCAGAGTGTGGGGGCAGAAAGTCTGAAAGCCCGGTCACTGATGGTAGGGTGGGTCGGGCGGGAGACATGGAGCAGGCCAGAGCCCGATGAACGGAGGGAGCGGGCAGGTTGGTAGGGAATAACATTGGTAGGAGTTACCAAAAACCTTTCCCAGAAGTGACTGCAAAGCAGAACACCTCCAGCACTACATTGGATTGTCATCTTGAACTATATGAGTTCCAACTCTTCATGTGGGGCTTGAACCAACAACCTTCTGGCTCAGAGGTGAGAATGCTATTGACTGAGCCAGGCTGACACCCATCTTGCTCTCCTATGAAAGAACTCCCTCTTCCCTCCCAGGACTCCCCGTCCACTTTGCCCCTCCTCCCAATTCTAATGTCAAATAGCTGTTATGGGAGACAGATTAGTTCAGGTTACTCTGTCCTACATCTTACCATAGAATGTAGTTTTCAACACCATTATTACAGAAGGCTAAAGGCCAGACAAGTGATGTAAACTGCTTTCATAATCCCTTATGAGGCCACTAATCTATTATAGGGATTTGGGAAATATAAAGCTTTATGAAAAAGAACCTTTTAAAATGCTTTCTTCAACAGCTGATAAAATCTTTTTGCGGGACTGCAGAGGTAAGATGATATCAGATGCTCTGAATCAATGAGGCCTTGTTTGAAACAGCTGCCTCTACCCCTTACAGGGGTCTTTGCCATTTCACATTTTAAAATCTTACGCTTCTAAAAACATTGCTGCCTGAGAGGAAATCTGGCAGATGGCTTCTGCTATATATTCTGAACTGCATTTCTCTTGTGATATTGTTTTTTTTAAAAGCTTCATGCAGCATGATATATATGCATATGCCATAGCGTTTCTTTTTAGAATTTACCCCCCCCCCCCCGCACCCCATCCTCCCATTGCTACTTTATCTTCTGTTCTTAGCCACATGGTAATTGTATCTCTTACTTTGGAACAGTGCAGTAGCTTACAAATGCAAGTGGGGTTTTAATCAGGGATTATACCTTCATATTCTTTTCAAATAATTCTCACAATATGTATAGAGTTGCCATATTTTTAACCTAATGAACAAATCTATTTTATTTTTAGTATTATAGAGGAATAAAGATGGATTGAGACATAGCTGCATTTTGACACACCCACATTTGCTGTGCATGACTCCAGTAAAGGCAATGTAACCATAGCTCAGCCAAAGCAATGAATTGAAATGAACGCACACAGCATCACCTTAGCCTTGATGGTTTGAATGGCATGTATCAGTGATGCAATACCTATGTTTCCAAATTGCTCAGTTTTATTTTCAACAATTTTAATGGCAAGGTAACCTTAAAATGATTATTTTATGAATTTCAGCTAAAATAAAATCCTTGCTATTGTATCCACTGAGGATACACTACTTTTAGTGAATCTTACGCTTGTAAAATCTGAAGGGAAACAAAAGACGTACAATATAATTTTCATTCATGTAGCACCTTTCACTTAGGCAAACTGACCCCAATTCGATTCGCAATACTGGATAGGTACCCGAGATGGGGGTGGGATCCAAGAGGGGTTTGAGGGGAAAGATGACTGAAGCTTGGACAAAGAGGTACATCGTGAAATATGCTGTGAACAAGGGAGTCAATGGGACTTTTGCACATAAATATACAGTCTTTTACAGCACTTTACAGCATATTCTGTGAAGCGCTTTGAGACGTCAAGAAGACGTGAAAAGTGCTATATCAAATGCAAGGATTATTATTATTATTACTTTCCCATTTTGGGCACTCAGATTCGCCTTTAGAACTCCTATCTTAGGTGAAGCACAAACAGTGGCAGAATAAAGGTCCCACTGCTCATCCTCATCAATAATATGCTTCAGTTTCGACATTAAGAAAAAACAGATTCTTTGCTGGTTTCTATCTGGTCTGCAATACAGCAGGTTGTTATATAACTATCTACTCAGCTGTGTATCTGCTCAGCTGTCTATTTGCTCATTTGTTGTATATCTGCTTAGCTGGTCATCTCTCCCTCCCCCCTTCTTTGATTAGCATCCAACCCCATCTTTGTGAAGCACTCCCCAAAGTTATCCAACGCAAGGGATGCTATATAAATTCAAGCTGTCTTTGTCGTTCCAAGCACTGGACACAAGAGTGCATCCATCTAACTTAGTCTTTTCTAGCCCTCAACTGTCTTTTCTCCCCACATTCAAGCCATTACCCGCTCTGGCTTCCCTCACCTACGTAACATCGCCCAACTCCGCCACTACCTCACCGTTGAAACTCTTGTTCATGCCTTCATCACCTCCAGGCTCGACTATGCAAATATCCTGTTTGTCGGCCTTCCCAACTCCTTCCTCCATAATCCAGAACTCTGCACCCCATGTCCTCTCCCGCACCAAACTCTGTGACCCCATCTCCTCCACTCTCGCCTGACTCCATTGGCTCCCTATCCTTCAGAGGATCCAGTTCAAGATCCTGGTCCTCACATACAAAGCCCTCCATGGCCTCGCCCCACCCTACCTCTGCAACCTCCTAAATAAACCCCTACCAAACCTCCCGTTCCCTCCACTCAGCCGGCTCTGGCCTGCTCCATGTCCGCCAACCCACCTGCCCCACCTTTGGCGGGAGAGCCTTCAGTCACTCTGTCCCCAACCTCTGGAATTCCATCCCCCAGCACTCCGCCTCGCCCCCTCCTTAGCCTCCTTCAAGTCCCGCCTCACGACCCTTCTCTTCGACCATGCGATCGGCCAACCCCCTTCCCCTCCCCTCCCTTCCCCACCAACCCCAGCTCGGGTCTGAAATGCTGTACTCTGTCCAGCGCCTTGGGACATCCTCCTGACATGCAAGGCGCTATACAAATGTAATCTTGTTGTTGTTGTTGTGGTTGTTAGTGATGCAGCCATGAATAGTACCACAGAAAGTATTTTGTAAGTATTACAATTGCTGCTTTAATGTCTGGCTGCAAACCTTCTATTTCCACACTGTGGAGAAGATGATTCACCAAAAGGTGTGGCTGTCAGTACAGTATGTGATTTGGAGCACCTTGTGGGTGGTGGGTGGCTGAGAAAAGTACCTGATACACTGCTGAATATCCCATTAGCTCTGCTGCCTGAGCTTCTGTGGTTGCGTTATGACCTCGGGGTATTTCCCAGTCAGTTAGGCTGCCGTACAATTTGAGATCTGAGTGCAAGGCACCTTGTTCCCACTTGGATAATATTACAAATTTTTCACTAACATTTTTTCCAGTTCTGCTCCCGAGGTTATCATTCACAAACGGCAACAACATTAATGTTGATATAGAAAGCAGTGCATCCCTGATTGTACCATCACAAACAGACTGCTTATGTGTGCAGCAACAAAAAGACATTCATTATGCAGCAGTGAGATAATCAGCCTACAGCTGAATAATATTTGTGAGAAAACATTATCGTGGCATTCATAGTTTATTTTCTTTACCTTTTGCAGAGTTTTTTGTCTTCCTTGGTGATGTTTGATACCTTCTATTCCTAACAACACGTTTGCATCTGATCTCACAAACAAATCTGTCTTTGCTGCTTTATAAATGGAGGTTTGCATTATTAACTCTTGGTTGGTTTTATGCAAACTTTTAAAGATTTGTTGCTTCTTAAATAAAAGTACTCAAAAAATATTTATCACGTGGATTGCACTTTACTAAAACACATTGGGGGTGACATTTCATCTGGTGTAGACTCTTATTTATGTAGAAAACACTGTTTCAGAGCATCCAAATTTTTGGCAACTCAGTTTCATCCAACAATCCTCCTGATAAATTTGTCATTTCACTTCATGGACTGTTTGTGGGACATTCCTACGCACAAATTGGCTGCTGTATTTACCCACACAATACACAGTAATTTCGCTTTGCAGTAAAATTTATTTGAAGAATTTGCCAAATTCTGCATGCCTCTGAAATGTTGCATGACTGGAATGAATCTAGACCAAGGTAGAATTTCCTCCTATTTGTTTTGAAACTCTGCCTTTAATCTGATGGAAACCATTTCTCAGGACAAGACCCATGCTAGTGTAGGCTGTTCAATAAGACATAAACAGAGAAGGAATCTTGAACTTGAATGGGTTGTCTGGTTCATTTCAAGAGCTGCTTCCTGATTTAACCATATAAGTAATGCTTGGAGAATCTTTCGCAGTTTCTCTCCAGCTGCAGGCTTGGATTTAGTGGGTCAAACATACACATCACCCCATAAACTTTAGTTAAAAAAAGTCAGATAATACCAGCAGCCATAACAAATGCTTTTCATAACCAAACCTTTTCCTTTTTGTAGGTATTTACTAAAACAATTTTGAAGTGATTAGGCTGAATGTGTAACTGTTTAGGTTGTCCCAGCACCTTGGAACGTCCTCTTGATGTAATTTGTTGTTGTTAAGACTTACTGAGGTATTGCATCCCTCTTATAGTTAGATGTCAGCCTGAATCAGTTTGATAGGACTCTCTAACCTCCGAGTCAGATGACCTCCTGTGCCTGTTCAGGTGGACATTAAATATTCCATGATATTATTCAAAAAGAGAGAAGGGAGTTTCTCCCTCTTGGCATCTGCGCCTGCAATTCTACTGATAAAATTGGTCATTTCAGTTCATGGCTGTGAGACATTCCTGTGCATAAATCCAGCACCCTGGGATGTCTTTCCGATGGCAAGGGAGCTATACAAGTGTAATTTTTTGTTGATGCCTCCAAAATTTCACTCCACAATAAATCCTGCGAAGCTCTTTGAGTCATTTCAATGATGTGATAAGGCACTATATCAAATGCAAGGGTTTTTATTATTAATCTTCCAACAGAGGTTATGGGGCGGGATTTGAGTTGAGGTAGAGTAACATTTTCTAAATTTTTCCTTAACATTCGCTGTCATTTTGTTATTGGAATTTTGTCAATTAGTGATGTAATGAATGGAAATTTCTAGAAATGGTCTCTTTTTTTTAAATTTCAATTCAAATTTCATTCATGTATTACATGGCAAAGAATTATTTGGTGTTTAAGTTAAATAAGCATGAGATAATTTCAGGTTAACTCAGGGCAAAGGATCATTTATCTGATCTAGATTTCCCCTGCCGGAAAGTATACATGGTTGGTTGTCAGGTGAACTGGCGCAGCTGTGATGCCCAACATGTCAAAAGTCAATTGAGACTCACCATCTGGGCTTACACATGTAGAATGGTACTTGGGGCAAGGTTGTAAAACGCTGCCTTATTCTCAGGCCATAGTCTCAGCTTTCAGGAGAAGGGGTGAGAAATTAGAATGTGCAAAAAGCACATTAATATGAATGGATTTGAAAGTAAAACAAATTATTTTCTAAACAGTAAAGCATTCATGTGTAACAGAACTATTCCTGTACTGTTTACTTTTTTGGATGGCCAAACAAAGTGGTTCCAACGTTATAGTGGTGATCAGTCAAAGCAGTGTTTAGGTCAGATGGCTATTGGTAGACTTTGAATGCTTGTTGTCTTTATACAAAGATATAGCAAAACCAGAGTAGGTTGATTACCTCAAAACAATATCCATAACCTTTCATGCTTCTTGCTGATTTATATGATGTTTGACCTTTTTACTGTGACAAAATTACAATCTTAGAGGTGCAGCAGAACAGAGCATTAGAAGGAGATTTCCTAACCAAGGCTCAATTTAGAGGAGAAAAGTGAGCCAAAGAAGTTAACCTTTTCCTCAAGATAGCTAGCGATTGAAGAGCAGCGCAGAGGAGATTTAACTGAGGTACAAGACACATCTTCTGGCGAGCAACACGTGACCTTTTCTGCTGCTGTTGGGCTATAAGTCACAGTTACTCTGCACCTTTGGAACCAGAACAGCTTGTAAATTGTTCAAATCCAAATCCAGTTCTCAAAGTGATACAGAACAACCTGTTAGGTTTCTTCTCAAACTGGTCAGAGCAAAAACAAATTACTGCAAACCAGTTGTGAGTTTGGAAATATAGAAAGCATAATGAACAAGGTCATGCCTGGTGCATTGTGGAATGGGGTTTTTTGAGACGATGTGAAATAAAAGAGAAATATTGAAATCCAGTCAGTATATCCAGCCCATATGCCCCAAAATCCGTTCTTACTGATGACGAAGCAAAGCTCAGTATAGCTATGTAGGCTTCAGTGTAGTAATGATATTGTAATATAATAATAATAATCCTTACATTTGACATAGCATCTTTCACAACAGGAAGATGTTCCAAAGTGCTTCACAGGATATATTGTAAAGTGTAATGTCTGTGTATTTTTGTAGACGAACGGAACTGCCAACTTGTGCACAGCAATGCCCACAAACAGCCAGTTTTATCTGGGGTTGACCAAGACACAAGGAAAAACTAAATTCTCTTTTTGAATAGTGCCAAGGGATCATTAATATGCACCCGAACAGCCAGACAGGACCTGATCTGAAGAATGGCACCTTCAACAATGCAGCACTTCCCCAGTATTTGGTTTTGGTCGGGTGTCTGGCACACGCGGAAACCCATCACTATGCTTCAAAGCATTCAAACCAAGCTGAGATTTCCATGCATCCCACCTATACATGGAAATCCCAGAGACAGAATGGAATGTGCGCTCTCTCCTTGGAAGGATGCATCCTGCTTACCTAATGCCGGTAATCAGGTAACTAAACTCCCTGCCCCCAGTGCCTTGGGGCTGATTTATCTAACTTACCTAACTCCCTGCCCCCAGGGTTTGCCCTTCCAGGTCCTGCTGATGAATCAGGCTGGCTGGGCTGGCATCAGCAGTTTACTGGAATACTGCGGACCCACCTGGCTCAGGAACCAGACTACCGAGACCACCAGAGAGGCCACCAGAGAGGACTGGCTTGATTCCAACATTCCATTGCCACGCGGGTCACCTTAGGGCCAGTTCAGTTCCAAGAAGACCCCAGCATTGTATGGGTGCGTTAGCCTAGACTGTTAGTTCAAAGTCCCAACAACATTTTCAATTCAGCAGCAAGTGTGCTATCAACTGAGCCAAGCTGACAGCGCAGCCTGGGTGTCTGTAAGTTTCTCTAATAGAAAAATACAAATAATGACAGCAATAATAAAATATGGTAATCATGATGCTGTTCCAATGCTCTTTAATATCCACAGCATTTAATCACTTTTCATTAATACCACTCTGAAGGCTCCTTTTTATGTATCACTGACCCATAAACGTACTGAGTTAAAATGTTACTTTATGCCATGCACCTTCAGTTTAAGTTGACTGAACACCACTTCCTCTTTCCATTGTTTTACCTTAGTCCTGGGGAAAATCCGAAGTGCAATCGGAAGTGCTCAGCTCTTAATGTCCCAGAAGTTCCAGCAGTTCAGTGGACTGTGTGAAGAAAACATGGTACGTGAATATTACATTACTCCGCATTCCAACACAGTCTGTGGCCAAGTGAACGTAACCATAACAGTAATCAGCCCCACAGGCAGCCACAGATCTGAATAGTTTACTCTCACCAGCTTTTGTACAGCTCCTCTACTGAATGCATTGGGACAAGTACAGCAAATCCAAATATGTTACTCTATTAGATCCCAAACATAACCAAGGTGTGTTGGTGTGTAGTGTGTGATTTTTCTAAACATTAATTCCGTGGGCCAAGTTTACATGTCCAAGTTTTTTCTCTCTGTGCACAGATTCCAAATTCCTGCCCTCGGCTGACCTCCCAGGACTTGGCGGGGTTTTGGGATATGCTGCAGTTATCGATTGAAAATGTCAGTATGAAATTTGATGAGCTGCACCAACTGAAGGCAAACAACTGGAAGCAAGTTGAACTTCCTGAAAAGAAGGTACACAATATAAAAAGGCAGACAGAACACACAGTTTTACAGTACCTTACAGCATTGAAACCTACTGTTTCATGGTAATTGCTGGCAAGTGTAGTGGCTATTTTTATAGGCAAACAAAATCTTCCAGCTTCCCTAGCAAAATTCATCACTTGTATAATCTGCAATAAGGGGAAGATATGTAGAATGTGATATGACAATCATCACACGGATACAATACAGTCCAACAGTTTGCCATGTTTCAGTATATAATAATGATCCTTGCATTTGATATAGGCCCCTATCACATCTTCGAGACGTCTCAAAGCGCTTCACAGAATATAGTGTCAAGTGTAGTGACTGTATATTTTGTGGGCGAACGATCATGGGTCCTTTTATAACATGGGCACACTGCGAATCCACAGAATATTGAAAGTGCAGTACACTTCCGCTTTCAGTGAGCTGCATGTACTAACGTTCGGTCATGTCAGCAAAGCACTCACTGGTGACCGCACCATAATACAATACAACCCATTATATCATGGGGTATGATATTGTGGACCCAAGCCACGCACTATAACTGGTTCCAGATTTATGCAATTATTTTTGACATGTCAGTAGCAACAGGTTTAGGGCTGACACCCATAGCATCCTCGCCCAACCCCAAACTTCTGACAAATGTTTTCCCCCTCAGCCTCTTCAGAACAAAATCAGTGCATTATGGGATTTTTAAATATTTAGATTTTTGAATCCTTGTCACTAAGATAGCTTTTTAACTTTGAATATTTTTCTTTGAAAGCTATTTTTAGTTTTCAGTCCTAGAGAAGCCAGTGCACTTGACCTGTTGGTTACACACGGGACAATAACGACCTCTTATTCTGCCTTTGTGAAATTATCACATATGGCATATTTCCCCCCCAAATAAAGTAGAAACTTGTTAGAATTTATCTTGTTGAATCTCTGTTTCACTTATTAATCCAGGTGCCCTGTGAACCAGGGTTAGCTTTAGTGTGCAGACCAGCCTACTTCCCACATTAAAAAAATGGTCGACATAATTTCCTATGTTCACTGACAGGTGTGTACATGGCCCACTGACGAATGGCACTTCCTGCGCTTTGCGTGTATGTTCAGGAAGTGACATCGACAGTGATCTGATGAGCCAGAAGTTGGCCATTTACCTATCCTTTACAACAACGTGGAGCATGAGAGATTGGACTCAGATGGCCATGTTCTAGTGGGGTTACACTGCACTACCAAACCCCGTTATAGCTTAAAAGCTCTGGTTTGTGTAACAATTCTAACAGGCATTCTGTTATTTGAAGTTAGTTATTGTTTTACTGTGCGCAGTATATATTTCTGTTGAACAAATTGCACATTCCCACCCTCCATGCTAACTTTTTCCGAAGCAACACACATTTTTATAGGGTACCCATACAGAACATTCAGTGGCTTACTGGGTAGATACAGAGCCATTCAGATCAGGAAGTCACTGGCTTGAACGAGACAAATGATGAATTAGCTGGTGAGGGAAAGTGGTGGGAGAACAGCAATTGGCCTTTTGTTCTCAGATTGTGAGAGAGCCCAGGTAGAGATGTTCACACCAGGGTATGAGTGGGTTAAGGATGTCTGCAGACTTTAATGTGTTGTCCACTGCATTGAGATAGACTACTAACAAATCATGGCTTTGCCTCACCTATAAAGTATTCTTACTTGGGTGAGTTAACTTATCAGTCAAGCGCTTCAAGATTTATACCGGGACAGTCCACAATCATTTTCATTGCATTCCTGTGTCGGTCACAGCGAATTTGCATAAATGTCACATTTATATTGAAAACCACTTAAAGCACTCTCAGCTGTATCAGTTCTGCGGAATTTTGCCCATTTATCCTACTAGACAATTCATTGAATTACCGGAAGCAAAGAAATGGTTGCGCATGTGCAGGTTCAGGCATGCCCACTTCTTTCAAACATTTTTCAATTACTCTTATCTTCAGGCTGCAATTCCTTCTCAGTCTCCAGGACAGGACATTGTAGGTCATAAGTGCAGAAACTACATCACAGTGGTCCATTTTGCTTTAAAATTTAAGGCCACACAGAATTGTGGAACTTTAACACAGTCAGTCCTAATGCGATATCTTTTTTTCTCATGGTTCTTATAAAGAACTGTAATTTGCGTGATTTTGGGCAATCGAAAATTTTAAGATTTACAGGATTTGTTAATGGATTTATTTATTGTCATTGTTATTTTGTAGGTGAATGGAATTAGAGGCTAAGAGTAGGTGGAGAGATTCAGATCTCTGCTGCATACAAGTCTGGCTCTTAGTCCAGCCCAGCCAATGGCTACCAGTCCCGCTGGAACTAGCAGCAATGCTGCCAATGGCAGTTGTACCTTCACAAGCAAATGCACCCCTATATTGTGAACAAGCCTAACGCACTTCACAGCATAATATAGGCAAAAAAGTGTGGATCGTGAGTTCAGTGTTCATGCTCTATTTGCATGTACAAGTCTGTGACACAGTAATGATCTCCGAACATCACCACGAGTATTACGACAGACTAGAAAGTCAGGTTTTCTGTAGAATTTAGGAGCATGACCTTCCCCCCCACCATACCCCACCCCCACCACCACCCCGAGGTGAATCTGCCAGATTGCATTGGGAAATTGAGAGCATTCTTGACTCCAATCTCCACCTCTTTCCCCCTTGGGCTAGGGAGGTTTTTGATCAGCTTGGCTTCCCACTCTTGATCCGTGTCTCCTACTGGAAAGTGCAGCAGAATGTATTGTAGTGTCTGGAATGGGCCAGGTGAAAACAGGATCAAGCTTGTCTGCACGCTGGTCTGTGGTCAAGCAGCCTGTCAGCACTCACTGTCTAGGCTCCCATAAATAGTACCCATGTTTGAGGTGCCAGACCGTTGCATGTGGAACTATCCCCTAGGAAAAGAAACAAATGGGAGTCAAAATACTGTCAGGGAAGAGAAATTTGACAAGGAAAACACCCTACATTCATAAGGAATGATGTATTAGGTTGCATGTATTAGGTTACGTCTTGTAATGACATTACCTTACAGGTTTTTGTGGTACATCACATTTATTCTCCATGAATCCTGACTGATTCTGAACTATTGGAGCATCAGGACAGGCTTCCAAATGTGGAGGGAAAGCCGAGACACCTCACCTCAGTGGCAGCTGGTCTGAAATTAATCTGTCCTCTGCTGCCAGCAAACTCAAGGCTAAGTGTAGACTTGCACAAATAGGGATATCCTGTTTCACGGAGGAGATAAATTTAATACGCATGAACTTGTTTGATCTATTTAATGCGTTCCCACAATGGCTTAGGGGGGTAGAGGCTCCATTCAGTGCAGCACTGAGCTATTCAAAATACACAGTCACTGTACTTTATTTAATCCTGTGAAGCACTTTGAGATGTGCTCCTGACATGAAAATTTCAGAAGTGGAGAACAAATGCCAGAGTTTGTAAATGTCTCCAGTTTGGCTCTACATATTGAGCGCCTCAAACTTAGTACAAAATAATAATAATCCTTGCATTTGATATAGCGCCTTGTCATATCTTTGAGACGTCTCAAAGCGCTTCACAGAATATACTGTAAAGTGAATTGACTGTATGTTTTGTGGACAAAACGTAACATAAAATCAGCATAAAGGGGCCACAGTGCACTTACGTTCCCTGTCTAGGTTCACACGAGATGTCCACACAGTGTTCATCTGAGCACACATACCATCCATACTCACCACTAATGGCCTCAATCGCAATGAGAACGCAAGCTTCCATCTCCTCCCAAACCCAGATCTTAAACCAATACAGTGTTAGATGACAGCGTTGAATAATGACATTCCCACCAATATCTATATTCAAGTATCTCTCAAGGATGTCCCTGTCAGGCCTGAATCCTTTGACTCACTTGCAGACATGTGCCTAGCACCATCAACCGACCCAGTCTTCAGCTGAGAATTCATTCCATCTAGACAAACCTTTTTAGTGTTTTCCTCCACTGGGTCCACAGCTTTTGTGAAAATCCATTTTGGTTTGTGAGTCAGTGGATTCATTGATTCGAGCTTTGTCAGCTACAACCCAAGGTAGAGCTTTGCAGATTTTCTGCCTCCGACTAATGGGCTTCCAAAATAAGGTCTGGTTGTCAGGAACCAAACCACTTCTATGAACAGCTGTTACTCCTGGTCCACTGCAAAGAAGGCATTAATTGATTTCCACTGTGGAAGTATAACCGAACCCTTGACCCATCCAATGATACCATTGTAAACATTTGGACCCCCAGACTTACCTTTGCTGGTTTTTGCACATTTACATCCCTTTGCATCCTTGTCCCTATTTGAAAATGTAAAGCACTTATCCCAATACGTGGTTCAAGCATTTGAAAGACCAAGATTTCCATCTGTTCCTTCAGTTCCAGCCACAGATGGCTTCTCCCTGCTATACTAATAAGGATAGTGAAATTGAGGATGCAAATGTCTGGAGGCAATTTATATCCCTCACAGAAGAAGCATAGAATGAGATGGCATGGGAACAAGCTGTTTGGCCCAACCAGTCTGTGCTAGTAAATACAATAGGAGTTGGAAACTGTAAGTGTGGATGGAGCTCATACATTGATGTCTTCTGCACCACGGTTAACTTGTACCTAAGTCAGGAAGAGTGGAACCGATGTTGAGATGCTCACTATCAGACAGCACTGCTTTGTCTCTCTCTCACTTATTCCCCTTTACCTCAACATATATAATTTTTCAGTTATATCCATTACCTGCTAGGATCTCTGTGCGAGTGCTTATGGGTTCCACTGTGGAATGTATGCAAGGGTTGACGCAATAGCACAGAGAAAAACATCACCAGGTAAGCTCACTCAGACACAAGCGAACAAAAAATCGAAACTTTCTGGCTAAAGTCCAACGTAGCATTGTTACATGATGTCACATGGGAAAATTGACAATTATTTCCTGATCAGCTGCTAACTAAACAACAGGAACATTGGCTGAGACCTATGCTCTTTAGTCATGGAACCCAGTGGCAATTATAACCCGTTATAACCAGTCTTGGATTAGCACCAGAAAGCATTTGAATTTGAGACCTTTTTGATTTGTACCACACTGGGTGTTGCAGTTATCCACAAAATGATAGGGGAGTACTATATATAATACATACATATATATTCATTTAATCTTTATTTTCTGCATTTTTAAGAATGTAACAGTTCAGCACTCCGGCAGAACAGGAAAAGGAGAAGACCTCAAAACCACACACTCGAAACATAAACCAAGTTGCTGCCCAAATTAACAGGAAAGAAACATGGTGCTGCATAGCTGAGGCTTCAGAGCTGTAATAGTTCTGTTCAAAAAAGATAAACACTCATTTGGTAACCGCATATCCTGAAGTTTATTCTGTTCATTATTCAGGACTTTCGGGCCTAGCGATTTCTTGCCAAGATTCCTCAGTGGAACACAACAACAATTTACATTTATATGTCTCAAAGTGCTTCACTGCTGAATGGAAGCCCAAGCTGGGGGGTGGGTTTGTACTTACAGCAATCCAGCAGAAATAGAGAAATGCTGAGTGAATTTGGGGATGTTGATTGTCGCTTTATAGTACCTGAGTAATTTGACTTATGACTTGATATGCTTCCATATAAATCTCAGCAGGAATGGAGTTCAGTACCATAGCAACTTCTGAGCTGATCTTGCGAGATGATGAGTGCTTCAGGTTGGCTTTTGCCACATTTTCTGACTGAAGAACAGAGCAGCGGGTGAATGATGAATGTTCTATTGTATTTCCCGCTGCAGGAGAAGAGAATTCCGCCTCCAGTGCCAAAGAAACCGCCAAAAGGTCAGGTTCCTTTCAAACGGGAGAAATCGCTGGAAGCCACAGAGAAACAGAGGCAGGAGGCACGCAAGAGGCTGATGGCTGCCAAGCGAGCAGCATCTGTGAGGCAGAACTCCGCCACCGAAAGTGCTGATAGCATCGAGATCTACATCCCAGAAGCACAGACCAGACTATAAGCCACACTGGAGAGCGATTGTATTACCTTATGATTTTTAAATTGGTTGGTTGTAACATATTGTACGCTTACAGATTTGTCAGAGGTACGACCAGAGAGAGTGTATCCCTTTACCCATATGAACATTAAATAATCTGGACAATTATCAGCAGGCATGGCATTCTTCACAAGCCCCAAGAAAAGGATTGGAAACTCTTTTGGTATAATCAACCATTGATGCTTGGATACATAGCAAAATACTTGGTCGCCGCCATGCCATAGTCATGGCTTTGTGCTATCTGATACTGTTGCACTTTTGTAACTCCTATCCAGTGTTTGGTCATCATCGACTCATCCACCTAAGTGGCTAAATTCTATATAGTGGCAAATTTAAATACAGGTGAACTCCCACTTAATGTCGTGTGCACGGCAATAGAAGTCAATAGTTTTAGTATTGCTTAAAAGATCTTATGGGGAATTCGTGTCTTCCTAATCATAGATGGTAGGATTTAGGGCTGATTTCAGGGTGGATGGAGTATGTACCTTTTGACTCCTCACACTTTTGTAGTTGCATTTTGACAGCAGAATACCATACATGTGTCCAAGCCACTTTCGTTTGTACAGAACGTTATCCCATTCCTTGAAAGGCATCACCTTAAGGATCCGTCTGTGTTCACCAGCATAGGGATCACCCAGTAATGCATTAAACACTAAACACAGAGGCATCTAGATATACACTGAAAACCGAGTCATGAGTATCCGATTTAATAATGTGGATCTTCATCTGCTAAAGTGGTCAGATACAAGGACCAATAATAGCTTGGAAAGAGAGCTTTTAGTTTTTGCATTCCAGAATGTGCAGAAGGCAGATGTTAGACATCCTTCCTTTTGCTATCGGACTGCTACCGTTATACCTTTTAATTGGTGACAGATGTAGGAAAATAGGAAGTGAAATGAGGAAGGTTGTAAGATCAGCGTATTGCTTTGGAGATGGGCCACTGCAGTGTAACAGATGAGTGGCTTTTAAAAAACCACTATAATTCTTGGTCACAACACCTGTAGTGAGATCTACCTGCTTTTGAAATCCCCAGATAAAGGGACAGCGATTCTTTGTTGAGATGCTAAGCAGTACTGTGGGGATAAACTGTGCTGTTCCTTTGGATGTCTAAATTATTTTTTACTAAAGACTTATCAATTTCCCTTTGACTCACAACACCAGGAAATCAAACTCCTATTCAGTGTTAGTTTTGTACATGTTTTTGATCAAAATGTGTTCTGCTGGAGTAAAATTACCAGTCACATGTAATGTACCTTTGTCAGTGTGCTAAGCTCTTTCATTTTCTGCAATATTATATTTTAAAGAATTTGGGATCTGTGGCTAGATTCAATAACCTGTGATGCACACATTTGATATAAAAGTCATTTTATAAAAAAGTTAATTGAAGTACAGTATGGGCAGAAAATGATTCCTCAGCCTCCTTTCTGCTGATATGTACTTTACTTCATATATAAGATAAAAAGTACTTATTTAATGCACTCTGTACTGTGCACTATTTATGCACATTGTAAATGTTAATTTGAAAATCCGGCAATGGTGTTCATTAGTGATGAAACTTTACTGTGAATTTGGGAGAACATCAAACGCAAGCAAAAGAGAAGCTCTCTTTGTCTCATTGTTGGCATTTCCCATCAATTGTTCTCAACACTGGTTTGGACAATTGGCACCATTCTCCGACACACCTTTGTACGTATCCACCTTAGTTGAAGGAGGCAATATGTGACCGTCACCCTTCACTCCTTGCTTTTGTTGAAAGTACGGATCTGTAGAACTGTTCTGTCAGAATGCACACGCTCCCCGTAAAATTCACTAGCTGTGCATAAGATTATTTTTCATATGCAACGAAAGGAAATCTGTGAATTGTTTTGTGTGGCCAGAGATGAACCCGCTTGTATTTGGTCGTCGATCAAAAATAAAGACACAAACGATTCAGACAAACCATCATCAAAGCTAGTGAGTAACCTGTTGTTGTTCAGATTCAAATATAATGTTGTAATATTATGTTAGATTATTCTATATTGTTTATTTGAAAGCTGTTAACTTTTCATTACCTCATTTGTATTTATTGTTTAAATGTAAATGGGATCCTTAACATATGTGTGTCCAGAGATTTCTTTGTAAACTACAGTGCACACTTAAAAATAGTACTGGTTACTGAAAGGAGAGCAAATCATTGGAGAAACTTGGAATGGATATCTGCTATTCCAAAGCAGTTTGTGCATTGGTAGGAAGTTGATTATTCCAATTGAAGTTTTCTGTAAATAATTAAATGTTTCCCATGATGTAAAAAAAGTTGAAATTACTGAATTAAAATGATGTACACTTACAATTCAGAGCTATGTGTTTGGCATCGTTTGTGCTGCTGAAGTGCCCATTCTCAAATTGTAGCTTGTTTAGTGGACTGCTTTACTTGAAAATGTTTCCTTATAATAATAATAATTCATGCATTTGAAAGACAAAGCGCGTTCCACATTGGGAAGACATCACTAAGTGCTTCATAAGATTTGCTGTAAAGTGTGTGTGTACAAACACTGAGGCACATGAAGCAGCCAATTTTGCACTCCGTGATGTTCCATAGCAGTAATCCAGGACACCTGGAGAAACTCCCTTCTCTTTGCAAATAGTGCAATGGAATGATTAACATCTGCCTGACCAGGCAGACAGCACCTGCCACAGAATCCACAGTCACTACACTTTACTGTAAATCTTTTGAGGCTCTTTGAGACATTTTAACAATGTGATAAGGTGCTCTATCAAATGCGAGTATTATTATAACCTGTAAAATTGTGGGGTAGTTTCATCTATTGTACCTTCACTGTAAGCTTCCTACCCACAAAAGCTTTATGACTCTGCAAGGGTTTGAAGCACGTTTTCTGAAATGATATGAAATGTTGCTCAAAAATTTTGCAGAATGCAAAATGGAACATTATATAATATCATTCTTGCATTTGATATAGCGCTTTTCATGTCTTTTAGACGTCTCAAAGCGCTTCGAAGTTCTCTCCTTGTTATCCTCTAATCCCAGTGGTGATAATAGCCCTACAATTGTCTTCGGTCTCTCTGGTCTGGAAGATGAAAAGTTCAGCTCCTGATGACCATCCAATGGTAGGCTGAGTGCAGCAAATGGGCTTGATAGTGATACCTCTTATGGCTAAATGAACCACTGATGTTTGTAGCCAGCTCATGCACCAACAATGACAGTTTGAGCAAGCTGCCTCCGAGGAACCTTCTCAGCACATGTCACTCACCAACTTCAAGAAAGTAGATAGGAGAAATGCCAACTGAAGAGCCTTGCAATTTGATTAATCACTAATAGTAACTACCACTCTATTAGCACTTGGTTCCATTCTGACAACATGTCTGAGTTGTAGCCACTACACAGATGGTGAATGTCAACCACAGTCAAGCTGGGTGGTCTGTACATTGGTTGTGGATCCAATATGGAAAAATTCTCAGGCTAAAATGAACAGTCTGATAAAATCCTTATTTCAATGAAGCGTGACAAAATTATAATAGAGTAAATTTTCAATATACAAACGGTTTACAATGCTGTTGTAAGTATCGGTTACAATTGGTAGCCCTCTTTTGAGTCAGTGGTTGCGGGTTCAAGCTCTACAACATAACTTTGAGCTTACACTATACACTGATATCCCAGTGTAGTGCTAAGGGAAAACTTCTTTGACAGAAATAAAAACAGAAGTCACTGGGAAAGCTCAGCAGGTCAGGCAGCATCTATGGAGAGAGAAAAGTGAGTTAACATTTCAGGTCAACAACCTTAGATTAGAACTGGAGGATATTGGAAGGGAACAGCTTATAATGTCAAACAGAGACAAAAGGTCATCGACCTGAAATGTTAACTCACTTTCTCCGTAGATGCTGCCTGACCTGCTGAGTGTTCCCAGTGACTTTTGCTTTTATTTCAGATTTCCAACATCTGTAGTATTTTGCCTTTTGTTTACTTCATTGTCAGAGGTGCTTTTCTTTGGCTAAGTTGTTAAACTGCGGTTTCATCTGTCTGTTCAGGTGGATGTTGATATATGATGAGGCACTATCTTATAAGGAATCCTGTAGCTCAGTGGTTAGAGCACTCGCTTCGTAAGCGAGAGACCTGGGTTTGATTCCCGGCAGGGTGAAACCTTGGGCAAGTTTGCTTACTCCACACGCCTGATAATAATCCCTCAAGAAAAAATAATAATAAATTGGTCACTTTAATCCACGACTATTTGTGGGACACTGCTGTGCACAATTGGCTGCCGTGTTCGCCCACAAATACACAGTCAATTCACTTTACAGTCTATTCTGTGAAGCGCTTTGAGATGTCTAGAAGACGTGAAAAGCGCTATATCAAATGAAAAGATTATTATTATTTATCTTAACTGGAAGGATTATTATTACTATATTCGGAATATGTTTCTGAAGAAATATCTAATAAATAAGTTGTGCGAATGCTTGACAGATTGAATAGAATGACAGATTGAATGTTACAAATTAGCATTTGCAAACAATCTTGAATAGAGATGAAAAATATCACTTATGAAATTTTCACAGATGAACTTGGGGTCTATTTTCAAATTACAAACTAAAGGTGGCTTTCAAGTAATAATAATAACCCTTGCATTTGATATAGCACCTTTCAGGTCAGGAGGAGGGTGCCTCACATTGCTTCATAGGATTTACTGCAAAGATTTTGCAGTTGAACATAACACCAAGTTTCTCCCTCTTACTTCCAATCTTCCAGCTTGTGTACTGCAGTAGCTTTAATTCTGTGGATTCAGTTGAGCTCTTTCATCAACGCAATCTTTGGATTTTATTGGTCATGTTGTAGGATTGATTCCCTCAGATTATGATTTAAGTAGAACCTGATGCTATGTGATTCATTGAGAGAGTTTGAATAGAAGCATTCTGCAGTACTTGACAATTGGTAAACACCATTTACTTTTGCAGAACTGTCAACAAACAGCCTCACAACTTCACTGAAAGGAGACTAATATCTTTGATAACATTCTACCAGAACTGACAAATACAAATAGTTAAAAATCTGTTTATCTATTCGATGTTCTACTCGCTTTTGTCATGTTAAAATTCAGTCACAATAGTTACATAGTTTCTTCCATTCCCTGAAGTATCACTTTACAATTAATGGAATGTAGAGAATGCTTCACAAAGCACGATTCACACTGTGTCTTTGGATTTATAAGGT